GCTGGTGCCAGCTTTTGCGCTCTGCACGATGGAGTTTGAGGAGGGGAGGAGATGACCACTCTATGTGCAAAGCTCGTTCAGCACCCGATGTTCCAAGATTTATCACTGGGAACTGCCAGAAAAAAACCTTTTTGGGTGACCCCACTTCCCCCTACACTTGTGAAGAAGACTCCTGTCAGATTGACTAAAATCCATAACCTTTGACTGCTCCTCAGAGTAACTTGACATGGAAATCGAAGCTGCTGGGTTGTGTTGGGCCATACTGACCCGCAGTATTTCATGCAGCAGGGATTGCTGACTCCTGCCTAGAATTTTGTGCTTGGTCTTTTAAACAGACCTACCTGTGATCTCTCCAATCAGCATCCAAGATGACAAACAGACACATCTGTCTAAAAAGGAATCAGGGAATGCTGCTCTAAAATCCTTTTATCACACAGAAATAATATTTTTTTATATCAAGGCCCTGATTTAAAAAAAAAGCCCAAAACATAAGGCCAGGAAGAGAGAGGTCAGCTGGTATTCCAGCAGAAAAGACCATTGAAGGGGAGCTGGGGTGAGTGTTGGGAAGATGTTTCATGAATCCTTTCTTGCCTCCAGCTTTGGTCCCTTCTGTCACATGTCAGATACTGCACAAATGAGAACCATGAAAATTTCACTTTTGTAACAAAATTTATTTCTGCTCTGTGGATACAAATCCCAAACATCAACAAACAAATTCCAGTGGAAAAATACCAGTCATTAACAATGAAAACTTTTATTATTATTTAATAAATAGAACTTTGGCATTCAAAATTCTAGCTGTAAACCCTACTTTAAAAAAAATTACAAAAAGAGGCAAGAACAACAAGCCTAAAGCTGAGCCAGCCAGTGGCTCCTTTACTTTTTACAATGAACACATTGTGATTAAGTCATGACAACTCTATTTACATATGAGGTATTCTGAGCAGTTCAAAAATAGAACCCAATTTACAAAACTACCAGTCTTAAGGGACTGATCCAGTACATATGTCAGCTGTGCTTTTAAAAGAGAGCTCCAGACACGCCTCCCCACTGAACTAGTGATATACTGTAATTAATATACGTAGAAAAAACACATTATGATTTGTGTTTCCTGCTCACACATCGTATTCAAAGAAGCTGCATACAACAACCAGCCTAACATTCGAAATGTACACCTAGTAACTAGTTTCAGTACTTCTGTTTCTAGACATTATGCAGGAGTCCTTACTACAAAAGCTTATTAACAAAGTAATGGCAGGAAAGAAGAGAACAAGGTGCAGTCATCAGCACGCTAACAACTTATCTGAAGTTCCAGGGGAATATACATTTACTTCAGGCTAAAAAGGCACAAAGGTATGCAGCTGTGGAATTAATATTGCTAATGAGCTACTGGAATAAATCACCCCTTTAGATAACAACTACTGATCTGTTTGCAGTCTAAGAATGCAGATTAGTTCAGAACATCTTTTCTCCACTCATGGTAAAACTCATCATATGAATGAGAGGAGCACAACTGTACTTCCAACTGCACCTGCATCACACCTCTGCAAAGGGCAAGGAAAACTGGAGCAAATTATGCCCTGATGGAGAGACCACAGCGTGCTGTCACTGCCTGTGCTACGACAGCAGGTTGTGGAAGAAAGGGCTTGCTTTCCTCCTTTCCTTGTGCTCTTACCCTTCCCAAGAAAAACCAAAAAATGTTTAAAATAAAAGACAGGCAGTAAGGGCAAAGGAAGGAAGGAAACCTTTTGAAGTGAAAAGGATGGAATTTCAGGTCTTAAATTACTTCATGACCACCATCAGTTTGAAATGCTGGAGCCTGAGTGGGTGGTTACAGCAAATCTCCACAATTTCACACACCTGTCACACCACAAAGCTGCACAGTGGAGTTCAGCAACCTAAATCGCATTTACACGACTGAGCTGCATTACTTCTATATAGTAAATACTTCTATATAGTGAATACATCATCTATAGCTTGTCGGAAGACGGTTACTTTCCACATCTTTTTCAAAATACATTCTTTTAAATACAGTAGTTACTGTAAGTATCTTCTAGAGGATCATATAAATTCTATCTGAAACCGTACAAAATGTTACTGTGCAGTTTGCTGACAGCCAGAACGGTACAGTATCCATTCATCTGCAGTTGTCTTCAGCCCTTGGGATTGTCTAATAGCTACAGCAAAAAGTTGTCATGACTAAATCGAAGCAATTCCAACGTTAACATTCGTTAATCACTTCTGTATTAAATATGCTGAATGAGACCATACACACTACATTTTAACCAATTAAACAGTCATGCATATCCTAGACAAAGCTTATTCCACTTAGAGGCATCTGTAAACCGATGCATATATATAGTAATTGCTACCACTACAATAGGCCAAATTTTAAGAAATCAAAGCAAAGTACTGTATCGCTGTAAATAATCAATTGGTAGTCTGCATCTTTGGCTTACACATCCATCATTCACCTCCCTATTTAATTTGACTGAGGCAGAAAAACTCAGGGGGTTTTAAAAATCAAGTGCTTTCAAATCAACATAAATATTACAGGTTCTGTAACAAAAACATTAGAACACAAGATTACAGCACTGCAATCAAAAGTATTATGAATAAAATGGGATCTCCTTCCAGAACTTGCAACTAATACTTGAAAAGCATAAAAGCTCTGAAGTGCTTGGCAAATATAAACTACTCAACTCAAATTTGCAGTACAGTATCACCATTTAACAGGAGGGACAGTGGAGAAATACCAGCCAAGTGACAAGTTTAATAGTTCAAAGTGACTCAAAAGATCTCCTGCTCCCCTCTAATTGCTCTATTAAACTCCTTCTCATTTCTAACAAATGTAGATAAACGTGGGTTTTGGTGATTTTTTTTTTTATAGGTACAACATTGCCATCTAAGGAAGCAATAATGTGTAACTTGTGTGTTTCCTCTCTCCCTAATATTTCTGATTTATTATCGGAAACGCTATTGTTGAATTCTGATAGGAGACAGATGCCATAAACTAAAGACTATTTCACTGCAGGGATGAACCCAATCGACCACACCAGAGGAACGAGCTGAAGCCATAGTCACAAAAAACAGCACTGTCAGAGGCACAGCAAACTGTGCAAGCCCATTGGTACAAAGATCCTTGTTTTCAGTTTTGCACTAGTATAAAAGTACACCTTTGATGCAGCAGGTATGTATTAATGGGGAATTAATACTGTTAATGAGCTGCCAGAGTAAATCATTCCTTTAGATAACAACCACTGATCTGTTTGCAGTCTAAGAATGCAGATTAGTTCAGAACATCTTTTCCCCACTCATAGCAGAACTCATATCAATGAGAAGAGCACAATTATACTTCCAACTGCACCTGCATCACACCACTGAGAAGGACAAGAAAGACTGGAGCAAATTACGCCCTGATAGAGAGACTGAAGTGTGCCTACAGAAAGAGCACAGAAATTTAAAATAAAATGGCCTCATTTTTTTCCTTGAAGTAGAAACTAGATAACCTCATTCAAGATTTTATCTAGACACTGTTTTAGTGCTCACAGGAGCTGAACCAGTCAGATTAATCTATCTGATAACACCATGTAGCAGTAATATAAATAGCAACACTACTTTTCACAAATTAGTCCAAGTCTAGTTTCAGGATAGAAAAACCTGTCAAATAAATAAATCCATACAGCTAAAACAATTAAACCACTAAATTTTAAAAACATTAACAGTAACCATTAAACAATGAACAGAAAGCAAAACACCACCAATTCAGAAAACAGAAGATATTCACTTTAGCCATAAAAATGTTACCCTAGAACTAACTTGGTTTGAATTTCTAAGCTTTCCAGGAGATTTCTGCTGTTATCCCCACTCCAGATCAGTTGACTGACTTGCACCTTAAGGCATTTGACACCTTCTTGCAATACCATACAAGTAAGAGATGCACGTATTTTATATTTTTTTTCTTAACAGTGCAATTTAAAAGTGGTTTTGCTCTTTGCAAGTTTTTGTTTCCTTCAGTTAAGTACTATTTTCCACCATGCATAACTGTGCAGTTAACTTGCAGTGATGTTCCTGGAAATGTCATTTTTCCCATGGGAGTTAAACAGCACTGCCAAGTGACACTCACTGAATAAGCTATGGAACATGAGCTTACTATTTTATGTAACTGCTTCCTACAAAAATGGAGAAATCAAGATTTCCCAAACAATGTGGAAAATTTTTCAGTCCTCAGACAACCAAGTATTTTTTACTGCTAACTGGAAACATTCTGTTTTGAGCCTTGATTTTGCCAAGGGTCAAACACCCTTTTTGTAACTGTGGTAAAAATGGCTGAGGTGGTGCACAACTTTATCAGAGGCCTTCAGGAAAAAAATACAGCAACCTTTTGAAATGGAAAGGACCTAAGGGGAAAAATAAGTACAAACACTAAAATACAGTTGTTGGTTGTTTTGGGTTCTTTTTTTCTTATAGCCATGGAGTATGTTGCAGTTTTATGTCTTACAGCTTCTCTGGTTCACAGACTTTGTACTACTGAAACTTCTTACAGCAACATGAGAGTGCTTCAAACAATCTGATACAGCTATATTTTATGGACATGTTTGCATAAAGGAGTTAAATCTGGGGCTTAACTCTCCTATTGGACACACAAGATTGACATCCATTACTAAAACCATCTTTCTTATATCCTAATTTTTGACAACTTGGAGAACAATTACTTTTTGAGTGCTCCAAGATTGTTCTAATTGCAATTCTTAGAGTGAAGTGCAGTGGCAGAAGCCTCTGGCTTCACTGTGTTCAGCCAGACATACACATGCATAGGTTCTTCAACCCTCTCCCCTCAGATCTGAACTCAGATAATGTCACACAATTTTCCTGGATGAAGGAAAGGACTGAGAGTTGTAGCAGCACAGCTGTTCTGAAGCTCTGGTTCCTAAAACTAGGCAAATTAATAAAATGAGCCCAAATGAAGGAAACAGAGTGTCCAACTGATTCATTCTTCACAGCTTGTTCCTACATTCAGTAGTTTGGAGAAAAGGTTTCTTGCAGTTTGTACCACTGTTCACACAATGACTGTCCCCTGCACACCAGACTCCTGGGATCAGTTACACACAGTCCTCGGAGATGCGTGTCTGGTGCTATTTGCAGCCTTCCCATATGGCTCTTTACTGGAAATGCAAAGACCTGTGACACAGCAGGACCTAGAAAGTCGTTTGCTACAGGATGGAGTGTTGTCACTGAGTGATGCAGTTGTCCCCCATGTCCTGGGCGTAGCGGTCCGACATGATAGTCCTTAACTCATCAATATCCTTTCGCAGCTGACAAACATCCATGAGCTTCTTTGAAAGGGTCTCTGTGCTGTGGTAATTTTCACTCTCTTCAGATGAACAGCTCAGTGCTACGAAAGACAACACCCAAGGTTAAAGCTCCAGTAGCTGTGTCCTGTGAATACTGCAACTAGTCACCTCCTTGGAAATAAGAGGCAGGTCATTTTAATTACATCAAGACAAGTCACGCTTCAGTGTGATGAAAAATCTACAAAATGGGGTACCATGTGAACTTAAGCTCAATTCAGAGCCCATCAGTGCTTCTCTGAAAGACATGCTTTTCTGTTTGCACCAAGATCTAGACTTCCTGAAGTCTGATGAATCAGAACAGCAGTGGAAAAAAATGGATAGAGCAGGCCTTTTCTAGAGACTTTGGGAGTTTCTACAGGCACTCAGAAAAGAGGGCTAGCAGGCATGTAGCACTTCTTGCTGCACATGCACTGTACTTTACCTTTCTACCTTGCTGATGGTTCACTTCAGCAACCTGTCCACAAGATTAATTCTAATTAACATTCAGAAAACATCAGAATATGATATTTCAGGTCAACAAAACCAGCTTATTAGAAGCGAAGACCTAACATAAACTTTGTCTGACTGGTTTCAGGGCTTGCTTCTCATTTCCTGGTTAAATTTAACAGCTTAGGAAATGCTGAAGACTAGATGAACAGCACAAGAGATGAAGTTACCAGGCACAAGGCTTATTTAAAAAACCTGGACACCCCCTCTCCCAAACCAGACATACACATATACAAACAGGAGATGGATATTCCTATCACTTGACCCCAAGGGCTTTCAAACAAAGGTACGAGATGTGTTTAGCATCTGTCAACCCTCATAAGTGACTGCAGTGTGTCTCAGGAGGGACAGACACATGGCTACACACCTTTCTTTTCTAGAGTAGTGAACATATCCATGACTGGGTCCACATGAAGAGCCAGCTACCTGCTCTCCTGACTTGGCAAGGACCTGTGTAGTCACATGCATTTAGTGGCCCAGAGGCACTAAGAGCCCAGCTTTTCCAGAGAGCTCCACGAGTTCATGCTCCACTCCATCTGCATAGCAAGGGGACACAAGCTTGTCCAGATGGCAAGTTCGAGCACCACATTAGCTAAACTGTTCTTCTTTTGTATCAAAACATTTATTAAACACTGGAAAGTCAACACCACTTACATCTGATTCCCAGCAGTAAGGAAAGGTTAGGCTCCTTGCCCTGAGCTCTCTGGGTGAGAATACTGCACAGTGCTTTCAAGTCAAACAAGCAGTGGGACATTTCCTTGAACAACTGGTCTGCTACAGGCATCTTCTCAGATACTGGCTGCCTGGACTGCTCCACCAGCCGCATCTGCTCCTTCAGGCAGGCATTCTCTTCCATCAGTCTTTGGTTCTTTGTGAAAAGCAAGTGGAAAAAAGGGGAAAGTTAGTCTGCAGCATTCATTGTAGCAGAAAGTTTCAAGGCACAAATAGTATAATTAAAAATAATTGATTTCCAAACATAGGATCAGTGTTTCTGTACCACTCCAAAGAACAGCATACAGACAGCTTTTACATGGCTATTTCGAGTTATCATTACTTCTGTCTATTACTTCTACTATCATTACTTAGCCATCTTTACCCTTTAAGTTCTCACTTCTAGAGGTAGGGGTGGTATGCATTATATAACTGCATGGGAGCAAGGACATTTAAGTATGTAATTAAGCTCATAAAGCCCTACCAAGGGATCTTATAATCATTCTGTAAGGTTCTTCCTGGCTCTGGTGTGGTAGAGGGCTAGGTTACTGGTGCTATTTTACTTACTTCAGAGAGAGTTTTATTCAACTGCTCTATATGTCTTTCTTTTTCCTCAAGCTCATTTGTCATCTTCTGAATTATCAGCTTTTCTTGTGAAAGCTTCTCTTGCATAGACTGAAATGAATGAAAACACAAGTTAACAATCTTAAACAACAACAAATAATAATAAAAAAAAAATGCTGCAATAAGGAATCGCCTGCTGTCAATTTCCCAGTTTTCAACCACAGAATTCACACTGAGAAATCATGAGGTACTGCCAAAATGGACAACTTTACTCTTGAAAGTACTCATGTTTATTCTACTATTTGGCTTTTAAATCTGTTGATATGTCTTTCTAGGTCATCTGGCAAAATTTAGAAAGAGGAACATTCAAGCCATCTTATCTGAATACTAACAATGAATAGAGACTATATAAACTCTGCAAGCACTTTGAAAGCACCCTGGTGCTTTCAAATAGAAAGGTCTCTTGAGCTGTGACTTGCCACCTGTAAGATTTATCAGTACTGAAGAGAAGGCAGGGAGTAATGAGAGGCAAGGCAGGCCCAACACTAAATGAAGTTTTTAAAGGCCTGTCTGGTCACAGGAGGTGTTGCAGCATTGACAAAATTGCCCTGCATACTCAGCTTGACACCACACAAGCAGTCGGGAGTCAGTACTATGTCATACTCTTTGCAAAACTGGAAAATGATGGTGCTAACATTTACAGACTTAATGTGGACTAAAAAAACCGCAACACTTCATTTTTATGTCAGCAGTAAGAATGAGCAGGCAGAACCCAGATACGATTACTTGTTTTTAAAACCATTTTCATAGACTTTATCTGCTGCTCTTTTTACCCACAGCATGCCCTGCAAAAGGAAGTGCTGAAGTAACATGTATCCTAAAGATAAGCTCTTTGAGAAAGCACAGCTACACACATCAGTGGGAGGAAGGAGGCAAAGGAAACACCCTGGGCCAGGAGAGGGCAGGAAATAACTGCTTCAGGCATTTCCTTTGCGTGCTTGCAGATGAGCAGAACCTGGACAGTGCCAAAGATGCTCTCCCAGCTTCCAAAGATCTTCCAATTTTAACAGTCTTTGATGAAGATCAAGTTCAGGGACACCCAGTGCCCCAGCTATGATAGATGCATTAGGACTACCATTTAAATGTTTCATATTCATGTCAATAACAGACAAAAAAGGTTTGACTGCCCAGCCTTCTGGAAGGGGGATGGTGGTAGGGAAGACAGGGTGAGAAATATTAACCTTCCCCAGTGTATTTTCAGAACTACATCTGCCACTAAATTTACATGACTTTGCAAACTAAGCAAAAAAACAACTTCTGGAATATACCAAGCAATGTGTATGCATTCAGCTCAAGAACTGCCCCATGTAATGGGAACTACTAGAACTATAAATCAATGTTTATTTTGAAAAGATACACCTAAGATCTATCATTCTCTGTCACCCTCATTTTAAAGCTCAGAAAAAGCACATGTGCTAAACAGCTTGGCTGAACCTATAGTTCATATATAGCTATGGCTAAGATTTCCACGTTTCTCATGGTGCTATGAATTCTCTATACTTCACCCTTAATTTTCCCATGTGCTTTCCAAAGTTACAACTTGGTGGCAATATTCCCAGCCTGGCACAGCTCGGGTTTATTGTGACTGACAAGATTGACAGATGTATTTTGGGTAACATAGGCATTGTACAAATCTGACTTACTTCTACTCTCCTTTTTGTACCAAAACTGTTAGTTTTGTGATGTCTAAATCATGTAAATATGAATTTATTTTTTAAAACACCACTGTCATTTACAATTTTTCTCTTTCTAAAGATGCACTATATATGCAGCACAGCATCTTGCCAAGACCAAACAAAAGTTTAATCCCTCTCACTCAGAACAACAAATCAATGAAGTAAAACCACACAAGCAAGATCAAAATAATTTCACCATGATTATGAGCAAATAGAAACTAATACTGCTTTATACAACTGCTGTCTGAAACAGAATTTGTTTTCAGCTTGGAAGTTAAAAACAATGAACTGAAATGCATTCTCAAGCGTAAGTTTACAATGTGGCAGAAGACAGGGAATAAAATGAGATCATCTTAGCTGAAGATAAATTGCATCTCTGTGCTGATAAGGGATTTCAATGTCTAATGAACTAATTTTCAATGCTTCCCAGATCACAAGTATGGAAGGCCAGGGAGATCAAGGATAGAAAGCAGCTGCTATATTCTGCAAGTAATTTGAGGGCTGACACCATTTTCAAATCTTATTTTCTGTCCTTATACAAAATACCTCAAGAGGAAAAGAAAGAGGAACTCCTGGAGAACAGAACAGTACCCTGTTCACAGACAGTCACAATTATTCAGCATTTCCTAGTCCAGCTCCCTAAAGTCATGTCAGGCTAAGCACACAAAACACTGAAGACCATTAGTCTCAAAATAAAGGTAATAGTGAGAAAAAGATCTGAAAGTTTAGGAAACATGGAAAGACCTAGGTTGATGATAGCTTACACTTAGCAAGTTGTGTGTATCTCTAATAAGCACAACATATATATGGAGTATATATGTAAATAATCTTAACTACAAAAAGGGACAGAGAACCTCAAAAAGGTTATGAAGTTGAAGCTGAACTTCTTTTTTAATTATCTAACACCTGAAACAGTATTTGACTATATCACAATTTTTGCATATACCAGTCTGCTCCATGCAAACATCTCAGTTTGATAAAATCAGTCTTCTTCAAACCTTGTGAAGCTAAGTAAGTGAATTTCCTTTCCAGTTAATATATGTACCTCATGTTTCAACCTAAATTCTCCTACTCCTTCTCTACAGATACATTTCATACACTGCAATCTAATCAAACAAATACATGGCTGTTGACAGGAATCAGGCCTCCTGTCATAGAGGCAGAGAAAGGAAGCAATTTAACAGTGGGAGAAAACTTTCAATAGACAAATGACATTCTAGAAGAGAAATGTGGAAACTAGAGTTTGGCTTCAATATTTGCTGAAAACAGATGTTTAGGTTTTTTTAAATGCTCAGCTTTTTCTATTGCAAGCAATACCTTCTTCTCTAAAAGCTGTATAACATTTCTTTTTCTCCACAACAAACTGAGTAACTTTCAACACTCTGTTAATCAGATCTACAGAGCTGCAGCTGACTCCTAGCTGACAACCTCTGCTGTCTAGAAAAATCTCTGTCTGCAAGCTGGGTACCTGAGATCCACCAAGACAGTTAAGGTATCTAAGTGTCAGAAACCAGTTGAACAGGGTGAAGCGGGATGATTTAGAAAGGCACCTGTCTCTTCTAACAAACTGAACAATGAAGCCCCTAAGCAACACTGCTTTTGTACTTTGGAAGATCCACTAGACCAGCAGAATAAGGATGCAACATAGCAACAGTTTTTCACTTTTTGATGAGAACCAGTGAAGTGCTAAACCACAGAGACATAATGACTACACTATGAGCCTGAAAGAGACCATGGGTTACTATAGTCCACCTATAAGATTAAGGTTTTTGGCATTTCTCCCTTTGACTCCTATTCAGAAAGAAAAAAGAATAAAATCTAACTTTAGCAATGTTATTCTTATGAACTAAAAATGTACACAGTAAACAACAGAATATACACTCTTCCTTACCTGCATGTCCAAAATCAGTCCAGTTATCTGATTTTGTTGATTGTCTATAATCTAGAACATAAAATTGAGCAATTTAGAAGGCTTAAATATCTTCAGATCGTTGTCTAAAAATTAGCCTACAGGTGTGTAGACAGATTCTAATTAGCATCTTTAAAAATGCAAATGACAGTACAGTTCAACTCTGACAGAACACAAAATTCATGCAAAATCAATGTTCTCAACAGAGACAGGTAGGTCTTGAAAGGTCATTTGAATTAGCAACGAATAAGTAATTCTTTAGTGAGATATTTATTTCTATATTTTAAAAAAGGGAAGTGCAGGACTTAAGGTTAAAGACACCACCAGAAGATAACTTGCAGACTAACCTTACTGGCTTTCTCATTCTTCTCTTTGAGACATTCATTCTCACTCTGAAGCTGTTTTGTGTCCAACATAGGAAGCCGGATACCATCTTCCAGGCATTTTTCTACTTTCTGTTGTAAACTGCCATTCAACATGAAAGAAAGATTAAGTGGCCTAATAGAAACCAGAGGGTTGTGTGTTCTAGGAAAAAATTAGAAACTTGCACCATCTTCCCAACCAGAACTGTAAAACTGTTCCTAGCAGAATCCAGCCTTATGAATGAGCATATAATTCATGCACCAACAGTGCATGAATGATGCAAAAATTCTGAACTACTCAAGTTGCCATGGCACTGACAAGGCCAGATTCATGCAGATGAATGCTGGTTTTATGTGCCATATTCTGTGCTGAGTCTCCCAACAGGCAGAGCTCCAGCAGTACGGTGTAGGGAGAGAGGGCAGAGAGGAGCAAAGCAAAGCTTTGCAACGCTCACAGTAGCTCTGTGCTCCTGGGGGAGGCAAAGCATAGATCAGAGGCATCTTCACAGCTTTGAGAGCTTTTAAATCAGACGCCTTCAGACCATCCATTGCTCAACTCAACCCATACGTGCAGCTACAGCCTCTCTCTGCTACCTTCTCTCAGAAAGGAAATACGCTTTATTAGTGCTAATCTTGCTGTCTTATTTAGAAACCAGAGGTCACCCCAACTATTTGGAGGCTTTCAGAAAAGACAGAATGATCCCACTCTAGATTGTGAGAGCACGAAGGGCTTCCATTGGTAAGATGGAAACAATGTGACAACAATTTGGCTGGCAAGGTGTCCCAGCCAGCTCGCCTTTCATCATGGAAACCTTTCAGACTTCTGTGGCATGCACCTTTCCCCAGTGCAGAGACAAGAAACTGCAGGAACATCCACAGATACTTGAAAGTGATTCTCCCCTACTTCCCTCTCCTCTTTAATAAAAAAAAAAAATTAAAAAATTGTTTGAGTAGGTCCCCTGATCTAAAATACCTTTTCTATTTCCCACACCTGGATTATCTGTCCAATTTGTTTTTTCATACTTAGGTAAGTTCAATGACAACTTATTAACTACAGCTATATTTCCTTGTAAATACCTGCACCCTTGATGAAAAGGTAAGAAATATCTGGAATTTCTTGGTATCTTTGACCCTTCCCTGATATACCCATCAGCCAACATCCAGCTTTTCCATAGCTCATGACAGCATCAGTTATTAAATAGCCCTACTGACAGCTTCTATATAATGCCCCTTTGCCACACAAGTTTGTTCCATCCTCTATCTGCCAACAGGCTATGATGCCACTGCTGGAGTGTCCAACAGCCTGAAGGACAGACAGCAAAGAATGCCCTAGGCTCACTCTTCTCTGTGGTGTTCATTACAACTTGCCATGGAGCAAGCTGAAAAACCCCTACCATAAAAATTCATTAGCACTGTAATAGACTAAGACTGCAGAGCATTAGGTCTTGACATCAGGTGGGGAAGCACACCCACTGCAGGGCACAGCCTGAGCAGCTGTTCATACCTCTGCACTGTTGTGACCAGCTCTTTCTCTTTTTTCTTCTGAGATGCCAGCTGCAATTCTCTCTCTCTGCACTGTGACCGGGCTTCTCCGAGTTTCTTTTCCAACTCAGCCATGGTTTCTTGAAGTTGCTTGTTCTTCTCTTCTAGAATTTGCAGCTAACACAAGGTTACATTAGTCAGTCACAGTGTCACACCAGCAGAACAGCTCGTGTCAGACCACAGCCTTGCAGTGACCTGCTGCATAGTTTCACACCTGTGTCACTTCTCTGACTCCTGTTTAGTCTGCCCTTCTATATCATCTAGTGTTGGAAGGTCAGCCAGGTATTTTTCTAAGGTTTCAATTCGTCTTTGTTTTTCTTTGTTCTGCTCAGACTCTTTCTGGCATTTCTTTTTCAGGCTATTAATATATCGGTCTCTAGTTTTAAGCTAGAAGAAAGAAAGAGTACATGCTTTATGATAACAGTAAAAAATAAGCCTGCTTTCAAAGCAGAGGCTGTTAACTCTCCAAGAACTGTACTCTCAGCTGCATGAAAACATTGGGTAAGAGCAGGAAACAAAACCAAAAATTATTAATCCCAACGGCTTCAAGTTATAGGCCCACGTGTCCTCAAACCACAACTGCTTCACCTCTGCCCAGAGCAATCTATGTGCCTTATGAATGAAAACACAAACAATTCAACACTTTAAACACTTAAAATGTTAGCACATTAACACTTGTTAATTCTTTCGCCCACTGAGATGTTCATATGCAACAAATAATCAGGATATGTTTTAGTTCCTCTGGACTAGGAAAACAATTTAAAACATGAGGACCAAGAACTTAATCTAGCAAAAAATGGAAGCCACACCCTTGACTCTGATGCAGTCTGACAATCACATCAGAGGACATCAGATCAGCATAGCTGCTTTCTTAAACACCTTTTCTATGGGCACCTTAATTTTCTGTAAGCCCGGAAAAGACTTTTTGTAGTATGTTACATTTTTTCATATTCCTGGTACATCTTTTGCTTTATTACCTAAATCAAATAAAGCAGAAAGAAAGGCTGAAAAAAGAGTATTTATTTTCCACTGTCCTTTCTCTCCTGGAGAGCTTTTTGTTCAGTGTACAGAATGGACAGGTGTTAAGGGGCAAATGGGGACTGTGCCCAAAATCAGGGCCCAGCCTACAGACCATGCTGCTAACACAAGTACTGCTGCACAGGTCCTCACCACTGCCTCTGCCCGCCAGTCCCTACAATCCAGGAATCCAGGCAGGAAAAGCTCACAAAGGAGGAAGCAGCAGTATCCAATTTCTGCCCTTCCTGCCTCAGTGAAAAGCATACTGAGGGTTCACCGGAAATGGTAAGGCAGAGTTTTGAGATTAATTATGCATTCTTCTTTGTCTTCCCACCTGACATGTCACTGTGTCACATTGCATGTATCCCTTGAACGTGATATAATAGAAATTAAGCCCAGTAATTAAAGAAGATGAGGTAACAGTGACAATGTACCCCTGAAACATTAATTAGGAACCCCTTGGTCAATGGCACATGTCTGCTTGCAATAAAGGGAGGCTCTGAGTACATTCAAAACTACCCCTGGGAATTCCTTAAGCCTGGAAAGAAACCCTTTGTCTAAACAGTTCTAAGAACACAGCTATCTTTGTCTCAGACTAAAGTCCACCCTGCACATTCTAAGAAAGCTACAAGAGAACCACTCGAGCTGAATGGGCACATATGGGCTGGTAAGTGCATCTCAAGGCTTGAGGGCCACATTTACAAACCATGCTAAAAATAAGGATTTAATTTTCACAATCTGTGTTTTTAAATGATACTTTATTTACTGTCATAAACACTCGCCTGAAATCATTAATCCTCTTTTTCTATCACAGATAGTTTAGTGACCTTTTGAAAATAACTCAGGCACCCAGATACTGAGTTGTTTCCTAGCAAACATATGCTGCTGCAACAGTGTCAAAAAGAAATGTGGAACAGGAAAGACACTTACTTTCTCCTCCATTTTCTTTTTCTCTTCACTGGATTTGGTTGAAAGTTGTTTCACAATTTCACTGAGTTGCAATTCCTTGTTCTCAGCTGCTGCAATCTTTCGCTCAAGCTCCTCGAGGTGGGATGCTGATCTTTCTGAAATGTGAGGTTGCAGTGGTGTGCTCTCATACTGTGGTTGCTTATGAAAAGAAATAAAATAATCACACAAATATTCACTCACACCACTGTACACTTGAACTGCAGAGCAAAACTGTCCCGCATTTTTTTTTAGCTGTCAGGAAGGGTGGGGTTTGATTTTTCAAACACTGAAATACGTGGTAACAGCATGTGTTTCAGGAATCTGAAACAAGAAAACAAAGAAGCTGGACACCTTTACACTCATAATAAATGCACAAGAACATTGTGTGGCCACTTTCCCCCTCAGATTGATAGAAGATGTGTGATCCCAAAATAAATCCCTATAAATGCAGATAAAAAGCATTTCCAAAACAAATCACTACCCCTGCACTATCATACCATCTCCTGGGTAGAAAAACATTTTAAATTTGCTTTGTGTATACTAAAGTAAGAGACACTTCAAATCCCAAGACTTTTCTAAAGCAGAACATCAGTACTAGTCAAAGCTTAGAGCTATCACTCCTGGGTTGAGAATGGTGCAAGAACAAGCCTGAGACTAGAGCTACAGTCAGAAGGCAGGTCTCCTATCTTTTGTCCTGTATAGCAAAACTTCCATCTCTGCTGGCCAGAGACAGGCAAGCACAAAATGGAAGTTGGCTGCACGTGGTATGAAAAAGGAGATTGCATCCCATTAGGCTTTCAAGATTCTTTTAATAACATAGATTGGTTATCTTTAAAAACACTGTCTGTATAATTTCTTTTAACTAGTGACATTCCTTCAGCAAAGTATTAAGAAATTAAAAAGTTCATTAAACTAGATTTCTTTTATAAATTCATCTTATAGAAGACAAGCAGAAACCCAAACACAAATCAAGCAGAAACCCAAATACATTATAAACTTTCAAGTTTCTTTAAATTATGAAAGAGGAATGCGCCTGCTGCTTTATTTGAAGCATAACATACATATGTGCACTAAAATTTCAGTTTCTGAAATATTGTTTCTTTTGTTTATTTGTTTGTGTCTTTTGTTTGCATCTTCTCTCCTGCACACCCTCCCCCCTGCAAATAAAAATGAAAAAAAAAAGTCTTAATCTGGACATATTTTGAAGTATTTTATAGAAGGAGATCTGGAAGCAACAAAAGCCTAGACATTCCTAGATGTTTCAAAAAGCCTCTGTATACCTAACTTCACACTGAGGCTCCACTTGAATTTCTCTGCTGTCACACAAACCACAGTCTCACCTGAGATAACAGAGTACAGCTGTGTTATTCCAAGTACACAAATAACGTCACACTGAAGTACCCTAGCTGAGATTCTACTGCAGTGTTTGTGAAAGAAAAAGATAACATAATAAAAGAGGGACAGAAAAGCTATTTCTCTGCATATCTGCCTTTAACAATCCCTTGCTGCATTGCCTTTTAGATATGCCAAGGCCTGGAGATGGAATTTGTGTGCTATAAGCAGCCACAGTCCTCACATTGATCTGCACTTGGTGAACCTTTGCTACCTCATCCTTATGCTACTTGATACCTGTGCTAGGCAGATGAAACTTAGGACAAGTATACTCAAAATATCACCAGACATTCCCTTTCACAATAAGTGCTCCCTAAGAGTATTAGCCCATATCCTTTTCAGGTGTCTTGTTAAAAGGTACTCCACCAGTCTGTTTGCCTTCTCATATCTCCTCCATCTATTCTATCCATAAAATCTAATAATATAATCAGGAGGGCAGTATCTCCTCCTCTACAGAAAACCTCTATTACTTATTTTCAGATACTCTCCTGTCAAACTATTTTTTCTCCTACTATCTCTCTGTAGGACTACCATACATGCATGCTGTTAAACTCTTATTCTTATAGTGTCACAATCCCTCATTGCTATCTCATTTTTATCAGACTTCAAGACGTACAAGATTTTAACAAAACTTAGATTTCTGCAAATATAAGGTAAACTACAATACCAAGAAGGTCTTCTCTACACAATTTGCAGCTATGCAATTACACAGCCATCAATAATCACAAAAGCTCTACACTTTGTCCTGCAGAAAATTGTGAATATGCTTTTAGGTACAGTGCAGTGGAAAGCTTTGCTGAAAGAAAAGTATTCATCCTACCTGTAAGTTAGTCAAGTATGGCTCTTCGCAGTTCACAAGATGGCTCAGTCGTGCATGTTGAGCTCGTATTTCATTCTCCCTTATCTTCTGATGTAAATTGTTAATTTGCTGATTTTGCCTGTAATACACAAATTTAATTAGGGAAAAAAATGGAATGGAACTGAGATTAGAAAAACAGAGATCTTAAGACTTATAGTGAAGAATACATTAACAATGGTATCCAACTATCCTCATCTACACTAGCTGTGGGCTTTTTCCCACTGCAGCCAGACTGCAACTGTAGAAATACAATTTGAAAACTCTATCAATTTTGTGTGGGCTGAGGGAGGCTTCTGTTGCCATTTGCTCCTAGGGCTGGAAGTATAAGCAGGAAAAATCATACAGAAAGCAGAACAAAATCAAACAAAAATGGCACATTCATTTCACTTGGCCCCTCTCTTTACCAGAGCTGACTTCTGACAAAAGTTGAAGAGATTTATAAATCAAGGGGAACAGAAAGAACTTAAGAAGAAAAGGCCATTATATAAGATAGTCAGCACAGCTTCCTTGCAAGGTCTTGCTTTTTGCTTTATTTTAGACTTTCTCAATCAACTACTTTACGTAAGATGTACCTTCCCCTAGGGTAAAATACTGCACTGTGCCCTAAAACAAGTACCATGCACCAACTGCTTGGCCAGTGTACAGCAGAAACAGTATCAGCATTGTATCATTATTTAATTATAACACAAATTGTATCACAGTTTAAATCAGGACCGCATCTGAACTAGGCAGGACTGCGGGGCAAACACCTGCCAGGTCTCTGCGAGGCTCAGCCTCACAAGGTGTGCAGTAACTCTCCATGGAGCAACAGGCACCTCAAAACCTGACCCAGAGAGGAGCTGTCAGCACCCACCAGAAACACACAAAGACCTTCTCAACAAACTTAAAACTGATTTTGTGCGCTCCGTTAGTTTTCACTTTTCTTTCTTTTTTATCCTAGGATGTATTTGCATGCAAGCATGACATTTTTTTCTCAGGGTTTCACCTCTAAGCATGGAGCATGACTGGCTTTTCTGAAAACAATGACGCTGAACCCAGGTGACTAAACCAAATCTTTAGAGGAGATAAATAGCAAATACAGATTAACTTCAAGGGAAAAGACCTGCCTGTGCACACACTGGAAAAGAAAATCCTGCAAAATATACAGGAAAACATGAAAATCTGTTGCTTTTTCTAAAATTTGGAAGGGTTGTGTTTAGGAAGAGCATCTTGGAAACATTAGCATGTGTACAGAAAATATGCATTATATAATCTATAAACTAACATGAAATATGTATTAGTTGACTACAACTACAACTGCAAATTTTAATAGGATGCCAAAACCCAGTTGAAGGGACCATTTTAGCTACTCATATTCTTCTAGTCATCAGCTAGATGGGCTAAAGAAGACATGATGAGAACATGATTTTTTTTTCTGTTTCCCCAATTTTATATCTATAAAGAACAGCAATGAATGGAAAACCAGTACATGTATGCTGCCATTTGTTGCTACCTTAGAACAATTTATTCAACATGAATGATTAAGGAGAGAGCAAGTGAATGTATTTATGTGACTCCGTAGCAAATCTTAAAGTATTTTTTATCAGCACAGGTGATTTTGAGGCTTCCCTATTCCCTCTACTATCTAGACTGAACAAGCTTGTACAAATACAAAAGGAGTATGTGACATGGGAAGACTGTGTACAATCCTGGTTGTCGTCTGCAAGACAGCACTACAAACAGAAAGCTTTCAACTTATTTTGGAAGGTTAGGTAAAGGAATATGTTCTTAACTTGTAAGAGGCCTTATAAAAGCCCGAGAGTTTGCATAAACATATGAGAAAATATTAAGTCTTGATGACTTCTGTGCATGCCTGGTCACAGAGAACAAAATTATTTAGTGTGAGTTATCCAAATCTATGAACTGAAGCAAATTTTCATTTTTTTATCACCTTATTACCTCCTAGACAGTTCTATTAAAATTTCATTGTTTAAAAATTATTTAACCACTTGTCACATACCCCTTGAAAGCACTATATGATTTTCAGTTTATGGCTGACAATAATTTAGCGGTGCCTTCCTTCCCAGGCAGGATTGCAAGAGTCTCAACACTACAGTCTGGAGGATATGTTTTAAAATATTTTTGAACTACCAGTGCCGTATTTCCTTTCATAATCCTTTCCCCATCCTACAAAATCCCTATTGGAAAAAAGGAGACAAGATAACCCGAGATGTGACATAACACAAGGTTTAACTAGCTTGCTTCTTTTCACTCTGCAAAGCACGAAACTCTCCATCATTATATAACCGTACAAACAAAACACAATCTAGAAATGTTTTAAGGCTGTGTAGACCCCAAAACTTCTTCACTTAACTGCCTCTGTGAAAACAACATTAACCTCATGGCACCAAGAAACAAACATTTTGCTGCATAACCAGTGACTCTGAGCTTCATTTAAAACAAATTTTAAAAGGAACACTGTCCCCAGAAGCCACCCTATTACCAATCTATCAGCCCAGCACCTCAAAAAAAACAAAACCAGCTACAATCAGCCTTTAGCATTTAGCCACCTCCAAGTTTTTGTCAAGCTCCTCAACACTTAATGCCTCCAGAAGCCATCTGAGTATATGTGGGCACAGTACAAGTGGGCCTGAGCTCAGGGCATGGGGGAATCTGACAGGAATACAGCCTTCAGTGCACAGAAACTGGACCCCACCTCACACATCTGGCTTCAATCAAAGTACTGTACCTAGGTACCATGGAAACTGCTTTCCTTCACAAGGTCCTTGTTTTTTTTCCCCATAAGTGAGTGTTACAATTTCATGTTGACAGCAAAGAAAGAATTACTGGTGTACTGTGTGAGTGTCATGGCACTTCCTACTTGGTTTCATTCACCCTCTTTGTCCAAATGCAAAAACCACTGTTTTACTTAAAGCATCTGTCTTGACACATCCCTTCCTCTTACACTCAGGCTAAAGTAGAGGAGAACAGGAGACAATATCCTGATACAAAGTAATCAACCAAAGGGACTCAGAGCCGAGAATTTTGTTAAAAAAGAAAATAAATAAAAACTAAAAAAAAATGAAAGTAAATCAGAAAAGGCAGGATTTGATCTGAAAGAATCCTTTCAGAGGGACATTTTAGTGTTCCTTATTTAAACTGATCTTCCAGAAGAAAATGGCATTAAAAGATGAATAAATTGTAAATATTCTATCCAATCAATTAACAGAAACATAAGACTAATAACATAGTTTTCACAAACACTTCTGACAAAAATCTTTCCAGCTGTCCCTCAAGGTGTAATATTATTTCCAGAAACTGGGGGTGGCAGTGCAGAAACAGACAAAAAAAGAATCATAACTCCTCTTGAGGTAGGAGAAGACTGCCTGGTACACAGAAGACTGTTGAAGTTACCTACAGAAGAGTTCTGCCCTGAAGACATCTTGCATTCTTCTTCAGATATAATGATTTAAAGGCTTTGTGGGTTTTTTCCTTCAGAAGCTAACCTGCTTGCTATATTTTCATAATTTTATTTTTTTTTCCATTTCACTGATACACTGGACTATGCCCTTTCACTCCATTTTTTGAACCTCCAGCCATTTATAAATAACCTGAGATCAAATCCTCCCTGTACTGCTCCCAGGTACATTCCTTCTGAGGGAGCTCAGCAGAAGTGACAGGTTATCCAACATACAAGACTCAAGTGATGGCTGTGTACAGCTCTATGGTCTCCTGAACCAGCTTTTATGTCCCAGTTCCCATGTGTTAGCTATTTACATTCTAGCTATATTATTTATGGAAAGCCCGATCATTTTCACAAAGTAATGACTTTGGCTTAGTTCCCAGTCTTATAAATGCGCATTTTGCTCCCTTTTCTTACATTACCTGGAACATTCTTTATTTTCGTAAACAAAATTTCAAGGCTTCAGCCATGTTTCATATTTCAGATCAATGATACTTTGTTACAAAGGGAAAGTTAAAAACCTGTCATGGCAGATTGTACCATTCTCTCGCCTTTCCCAAAATTACCAACTACCAGCCCTACATGAAATCCTAACATTATACACTAGGCTACCAAAGATGCTGATTCTGTCTATTTCTTTGGCATTTAAGAATAGTATTCCTTATCTGTCTTTCTGCCTGCCACAGATACTTCCATTCAGATACTTCCATTCGTAATTCCCCCATCCTATGACTCTACTTACAAAACCGTCTAGAATTCAGAGGAAAATTTCTGATGCTACTTGACCCTAACTGAATCTATTGAAATGAGCAAAAAGAAAGCTAGAGCCATAACAATGAAGTATCAGTGGGAAGAGTGGGGGAGGTCTCTCTTTTGATTCAATTGCAGTTCTGTCCTTTAGCTCAAACAGTTCCCTTTGAAAATTCAAGTCAGCACAGAGGATGTGGGACAGCAGAGAATAGCACTTAGCTCAGTGTGCACAAGCCTGGATTGTCTTCAGAGACCAGCATGAACAAACTGCTTAATATACAAACTGCTTCCCCTTAAGTCTCAAAAATATCTGTATGACATAACTGATATTCACATAATTTTCCTCACATTCACACAGGACAAGTGTGACATATACTTACACAGACACTCACATATACATTTGTCTGGAAATAAACCCTATTTCTTGAATCTGGGACCAGCTCACCCATTCTCCATATGCTCATTTTATCCCTTACTTACTCAAACATGAAAGAGCCTTTAGAAATCCACATCTGCCAGAGAAGCACTTCGTCTCCCCAACTTCTAAGCTCACTTAATTTCTAATTAGCTAATTTAAAAATCTAACACCTTAATTTCCAATTAATTTTCTTAATTTCTACTTACTTAAATTAAATTTCTAAATTAACGTAAATCTACGTCTCACCTTCCAAGACAAGATCAGTATCTTCAAACAATTCAGGGACTTTAGAACAGAGTTTCCTCTACTACAGAAAGGACACTAATAACTTCTTAAGAAACCAAATTACAATTGTTGCTTACCTTCAAAAGTCACAACTTAACATGAATTTGCTGCTTTAGGTGAAAATGTCTGAGCAGATTTCTTCTGAATTAGGATACAAAGTAAACTACAACATGGATCCCTCTGT